TTCACAAGTAATAGTAGTAGCTAATCCCTCTTGCCTGCAACAACGTCAAAAGACTGTAAGCAGAAAGTATTTCCAATCTTCTCATAAAATCAAACTCGTAATAGTATCGAAGTATTAGACACCACTCCTTCTTTTAGTGCACTGGTGTTTCTCAGAGAAATGGTAGTCAAATGAGTATAAAAGGAAAATAAAGCTCTTGCATCCAGCAAACAATTCAAGAAATACATAATCATCAAATACCATGAAACCAACCAACAATACATGCTCAAGAAAACATCCAGACATCACATATACAAAGATTCAAAACTTACCAAACCATATTAGTAAACTAAAGGCACGAACAAACTAGAAGCACATAAGAAGAAAATATGACAATCCCAGTAAAAATTTCAATCAATACGCTGGGTTAGCCAAAAATCCAAAATTCTGATTCATTCTCAATAAATTAAAATAATTTGAGGCAAATTCCCTCAACAATTTAACAAGAAACAAAGTGGAAAAACAAGAACCTTACATTATGTTAATTACATAACAGGTAAACACAAAAAGTAATATTTAAATGATAATTTTTGACAAAATACAACCAAATAAAAGATTGTAAAAATTGTGTCATAATGTGTATGCAAGCATGACATTAGGCCAAAAAGAACAAAAACACTGTCGAGAGAGAGAAATGCAGCAAGGAGGTAGAGGCGGTGACGAATGAATTCAGGGGAAAACAATTTAGGTTTAAGTTGGAAAGAGAAAGAAAGGATTTCTATTTAAGAGGGAGGATGAGTCATGGATGTAACAACTAAATCAAAAGGCCATCATATTACACACACAAAAACTGCATTGATGTACATTAACTCAACCAAAGATTTATTTGGCATAAAACAATATATATTGTCGAAATACTTAAAAACAATCAGCAAATTCTAATGAGTATTTCCTCAGCAGAAAGAATTGATAATGTATTTATAATCTAATCAATAGCTACTTTAAATAGTACCAACGTAACCAAAGATTAGTGACATTGAAAACTTACCCTAGTCCCCTAGTCCAAATTTAACGAAAGATCAAGATCTTCAAGACCATAAAAAAGATTCACATTCGCATCGCTCCCATTTGGGTTCTCGTGAGGAAGATTCTGGCGATGCATGTCTATGAGTGCTCTTGTTTGTGTCAGGTCCGCGGTCCAGGATTTGACTTCACGCTCAAGCTAACGTATTAGACAACAATTGCCTCCAACTGGGTCAAGAAAACGAGCGTGCATTTCTGCGATCATACTCTTCATGGCCACTTGTTTCAGAGGGGTTCAAAACATGCGAGGACATCCAAGGCATTTTGTACCTCAAACATCTCCACTTCACGCGCTGTTGGAAAGAAAGGGGTGAAGGAGCAATCGGGTTTGCATATTTTTCGTGATAGTTGGCATGCAACACAATGCGTGCCCATTGTTGGTGCTCATTTTGAAGGTTTTGGTTTTTCAGGAAAATGGTGTTTGAGTGTTTTCTTTCAAGAAAGAAAGAGAAAAGGATGGTAAAGTGGAGTGCAGATGGAGAATTTTGTCAGGGTCTAAGGTGTTGTTAACCGTGATTATTATTTTATGGGTTGTGGTTTTTATTGTGTTTTGACTATTTTAGAGGGAGTTTGCTAGCTTCTTTTAAAATTGTTAATATAATTTGTATTCTCTTCTTTCACTAAGAAATCTATAATGCCACCCTAAGTTTTCTCTTTAACTGGACTTAACCATTCTAATTACCCCTTGATAACTATTATGATTTATCTCTTCTAGTATCTTTTCACTCTCATATTTATTTCTCCCTCCGTCTCCCTCTAGAAAAACTAGTCTTGGTTTTTCTTGAATTCTCTTTCCTTTTTTAGTATTCTCTAGAATGTTCCTTGAAAAAGATCTAGAGTTATCCGGAACCTCCATTCTCCAGTGCTCCGAATCCTTCTAGAAATGGGCCGTGACAGTGGCTTCTGAGATCATACAGTTTATTGTCATATGTTTCACAGAGGGTGCAAAACGTTCGAGCACATCCAAGGCATTTTGTACATCAAAGATGTTTTTGAAAAGGACGAACCTACTTCACAGCTTCTGGGAAAGAAAGGGGTGAGGGGGCAAGTTTGCATCATTTTTTCTAACAGTTTGCATGTAGCACAACGTATGGTGCTGCTAGAACCTACCCATTGTTGGTGTTTGTTGTTTTCAAGATAATGGTGTTTTAACTGTTTTCTTTCAAGAAAAAAAAAAAAGAAAGTGAGAGAAGGAATGAGAAAGTAAAGTGGAAGACAATTTGAGACTAGGTGACATGGCGAGTGCAAATAAAACTCATTTTCCCAATTTATAGGCTCCCAAGTGTCCCACATCTAGGCTATCACTTGAATGGTCTCTACAAATATCTAGATAACTAGAAGTACAAGTATTTCAAGATTTCTCTAGAGTACTCCAGGTTTACCAAAAAAAAAAAACCCTATAGAAGCTGACAATATTGTCCATCTACTCTTTCTGCCACTTTATTTTCTCGTCCATTCTCTCTCTCTCTCTTAAAAGAAAATAGTCAAAACACCATTATCATGGAAATCATAACCCTAAAAATAATCGCGGCCAACAACACTATAGAAGCTAACAAGATTTTCCCTCTGTTCTCTCTTTCACTTTACTTTCTCGTTCTTTCTCACACTCTCTCTCTTTCTTTTTCGAAACAAAACAGTCAAAATACCATTATATTGACAACCTTGAAATGAGCACCAACGACACCAACAATGATAAGTCCTAGCGGCACCACGCATTGTGTTGCGTGCAAACTGTCACAAAAATTATGCAAATCGGATTGCTCCCGCGCTCCATTCCTTCACAGAGGACGTGAAGTAGATTTCATCCTTTTCAAAGAGATCTTTGGTGTACTAAAGTCTCTGGATGTCCTCGAAGGATTTGTACCCCTTATGAAACAAATGGCAATGAACTGTATGACCTCAGAAGCCCTCTTCTAGTAGGATTCTAAAATGAAGCCGGTTCTAGAGAACTCTAGGTCTTCTTCAAGGAACTTTCTAGACAATACTACTGAACCCTTTTGAACTTAGGGTTAGTGGCACATAATTGGCATCAACTGTTACATGTTTCACTTAATCCCTTCCTAGTGGTAAATAAGTATGAGGCTAGAAGGCAACCCAGGACACAATTTTCAAGTCGGTATTTACATGGACCTACCCGACTATTGATACTGTTGGCAGTTCTCTTCTTTAGGGTTTGTGCTTTTTAAGATAATATCATCTTTTTTGACGCACTCCGATGTTTTCTCACGCAATAATGAGATAGAGGGGATGAGAAAATATAAGGGTTGAGAGAGAAAGAATTCTGATGTTTTGAGAGATTCAAGAATGAGAGAGTGGGGAGATAAGGAAGGAGAAACTGGAGTAAATATTGAATGTAACGGTGGTATATCGTCGGTATTGTTATTTGGTATTATCAACTAATAATATACAGACAAATAAGAAAATGAACTCTATATAAGACAATAACTATTCAAGTGAGGTTCATCAATTCTGATTATTACCGTTGTATTGAATATTCTCGCAATGTGAACTGGCTTTCGACAGAGAGAGGAGTTGTAGCCTCCATCTTTCTTGACGATGTTGTGCTTCCTGTTTGTCAAAGAGGTTGCGTCTAGATACATGCAGAAGAGTTGACCAAACAATAATCAAATATTATCTACACACGCATGCTCAGACCCACCAACACAATTAGCATTGTCTAGGTCAAGTTGATCATGAAATGATCTCATGCTTGTTCATCCGAACTGCACCCCACGACTCTTAGAGAAAGAGATGGTTGTTGGAAATTGGACGTGTATTAGGGGTTAAGAGTTTTTTATTTTAACCTGAAATTCTAATTCGAGACTTATTTATGATAGAGTAATATTATTTGGATTTAAAAATTTGATCTAATTTACTGACATTATGATGTGATTTTATAGAAATCATTAGATCAAATCAAGTTCTATTGTTTGATAGGGTCTACAATGAATCTAAAGACCACAGTGAATTAGGTCCTAATGACATTGCTCTTTATGATGACATTTTCAAACTCAGTTTACTATTCAAATTTCAATGAAAATTTAATTGGCATCAATTTTTGGGTTGGCTTCTGTTTTAATTAGAGGGTTACACAATTTTGGTGTAACTTTGGGCTCACTTTTGCTTGAACTATAATTAGAGTAATGCTAAACTGATCAAAATTTGGGACTAAATTTAGAGCCCAAATGACATGACAGTTAATTATTTGAAGTTTTTATTGGGACCCAAATGACATGACACCAATCAAAGAAGCTCAAGTCAACTGTCATGTTATTTGGGCTCAAAATTTGATCCCAAATTTTGATCAGTCTAGCATTATTGCTATAATTAAAGGATCGGACTGGGATTGAGTTAATCCTCATATTTCAAGACACAAATCTCGACACTTGTCAAATTTTAAATCCAATTAATGAGATATTTTAACTCCAACTCTAACCAAGTATTAAAAATTTCTACCAAGAATGTTTTGGATCATATTTCGACCCAAAATTGCACTAGATTATCGAAGAACCGTATGAGAATAAGGCATTGAGCCCTAAAGGGGAACAGGGTAAGCGTCATGATAGCCAAAAGTTCTTATCTTTCATTACGATCTTATCAAATAAACATCTCTATAACATATGTAATTCAAATTTGCATTCTAAATAATGGGACCATTGGATGAGTGAGTCCCTTTCACCCAAATCGACCCCTCTGCCTTCCCTTTTTATTACATTTTTATACCCGATAAAAACAACAAATTGTCATGGAATCTATCCATAATATCTGATCAAAATTTTCAAGAGAACCAACCTTAAATTCCTCTGAATAAGGGGCTTATACGTTCGTCTATGTCTTCGGCAGATTTTCCAAGAATTTATTGCAGTATGTTCTTGTAATATCGTGGCATATGCCTAAGAAAAAGCTCAGCAGTAGTACTAGTAACTGCAATTTGGTGTTTATTTCTTATCTTCTTTGGGTTCTTCTTTCTTTTCCTCTTTCTTTTCTTCTTTCTTCTCTTCTTTTGCTGGCCCAACTGATATTATATCGACCTTCCCTACTTTCTTCAACTTCTTCACCACCGCAACTGTGTCCATCTCTCCGATCACTGTTAGTTTCTGCTCCTTCAGATCAGCAGCAATCGAATCAACACCTGCTCATAAATAACACCAAATGGGATTGTAACTTATGTAAACAAAGGAACATATAAGCCATTGTCCATTGTTTTTTACCGTTGAGAGAGAGATGCAAGCAACCCATGCATTAATTAATATTACAGTTCAAAGGAAAAAAAAAAAAAAGTACCATAAATATCCGCAGCAGCTTCAATAGCCTTTTGCCTTGTCTTCTCATCAGTCATGGTCATGACCTTTAATACCACCTTCTGCTAAGGAATTCCAAACAAAATAGATCATAGACAGAAGTGAATACATTAGAAGATGCAAACTTTTGCATATTTACATCTAGCATAGACAAATAAATTTGGACATAGAGAGGGAAAAACAATACCTGCGCCATTAGTTTGAAGAGAATAACAACATGAACTTTGAAGGAAAGAACAAAAGTGAGTGGAGCTTAGAGGGCTTGGTGTTTTATAGAGTGACAGATGTGAGGTGGAGGTGGGTTTGGCTGGGGGAGTGTCGTGTATGAGCTCAGAGACATCCATTAAATAACGAGCAATGCTATTAAGACTTAATTTATTGAACTAATTTGTTGACCTAATTTCCTTAAAGTTTTTCCGTTTTGTATATCGTGCAAAAATTTAAGATTGATCGAATCCCATCAGATACTTTATTTTTCTTTAAAATCAGGGAGTTTTTGAACATATATTGAATTGTATGTGCACCTATATATACTCTTTTCCTATAAAATATGATATTTATTTACTGAAAAAATGTAATAAAAAAACTTGCATCAGAGAGCTAGATCATTGGTTGACATTTTTTTCATGAATCCTGGTTTTACACCCTAAGAAGCAGTTAAAACAGAGAACTTAAAAGGTCGTTGATTATCAATGGGGGTACTGTTTGCTGGTCTAAGCATGATCAACGGGTGCAGTCCTGTGGGAGTTTTGATGGACCCATCTCTAAGTGGTGGTTTTACAACTTTCAAGAGCTAAAAAAATTGGTGCTAAAGGGTCATCTTTGTCTCAATTTCAAAGGGCTGAAATAAAAGTTGTAAAGCAACTGGGCTACAACCAGTCTTTGTAAAGATGGTTCCCGTTACTTTGTCTGTAATTACCCATAAAAAAAATTATTATTTTATTTTGGTGCATTGGCTACTTAGGAGTAATTATCTATATCTATACTATTTTAAAAAGTCAGCATGTGTGAAAAACATTTTTTTTTTCCATCTTTGCCTTCCACTAATACAATTATACCATCCTTATCTTCTATAATTAATAATACACTAAACCTAATCATCAGATCTAATTTACTTCTCACCTGTTACCGTCTTTGTCTCTTCTTGTCCCTTCCGTTCCCTTTTCCTTTCCTTCCTCTTCCTCTTCCTCTTCCTCTTCCGCTTCAAATATATCCTTTATTTTAGACATCCTTTTGAGGCAGGATGCAACCTATATATATGTTCGTTAATCTTTCTTTCACTATGACTCAAGGAATTTTGCTGATGTGGACAGTGATGTTCTTAGCTATCGAGTATTCCATTCGAGTTTCAAAACCACCCAAGGTGGTTTATTCAATCCAACAACTCTCTGAGTGAGCCCTCAAAACCTTTTTTTCTTTGGTTACACAATATTAACATTTTTTTGGTTGTTTTACCTCTCTGTGGTATGAGATAAAAAAAAAATGCAGTCAAAAGGGATTACGACTGCAACCACACCACAACTGACCATAGCACGAATGGGTGGTAGGAGGAAGACTAAAAATAAACAACAAAATCATTTTGATGCCAATGTTCAAGTTTATGTTTCTCATTGCATCTATGTTGTTCATCTAATTTCGTACTTGTTTTGAGTTTCCAATTTGTTTTCCTATATTGGGGTTTGGTTCCCCAAGGGCTTTCTCATAATAGTCTGTTGTGATCTTTTGTTGAATTGGATTTTGAATTTATTGTTTAGATATTGGTTTTCTGTATGTTTAAGTTGGTTGGACATCTCTGCGAAATTGTATGTTAGATAAGATATGTTATTGGTTATTAATTTGGCTTTAGAAATTTTGTCTATTATGTTATGGGTATTCAAATCTTCATGCACTCTATTGCTATTTATGTTCATGGACTTGTGTTGGCAGAGGTATAAGTAATGCAAAATGAATGTATTGTTAATTAATGTACTTAAATTTATTAAAAATTGTTGAATCCTTTTAATGGCCTTTCCTTTGTGAAAGCAAACATACACACACACACACACTGACCCACAACCACACATGATAAAGTAGAAAAAAAATAGCAAAATGAAATTTGGCTTTAGTAGGCTGAAACATAAAAACCTGTTGGGACCCCTTCAATGGCCCTTTATTTGTCACTCACCCATACGGAGAAGTTTGCACAATGACAAAGTCTGGAGGACATTCAATGGTCGAATTGATACAATAACTTTTTTGGGGGGAGGAAGGGTTGTGGGCATCCTCCTATAATAGTTAGTTGTGTCTCTGGGTAGAATACACCCTATGGTCAATTGAAGGTCTTGTGCCACTTGAACACAAACCTATCATAACTTCAATCCATTTTTGAGGGGGGGTTTGTGGTGATGATGATGGAAGTTTTTTTTTTGTGACTTACTTTTATGAGTATTTTGTTTTTATTTTATCAAAATTTTATTTAAGTAGTCCTCGTTGGTTTTTTTCTATATGCATGTATATAATCATCTCAATTTGTGAAAACTGGTAGACCAGCTACCTGATGGTGGCTCTCATATGTGTACCTAGGTAATAAGATCTAGTTATTATAATTATTGATATTGTAGTTAACTAAGAAGATTTTTTTTCAAGTTAACTAACTAATAAGATAATGCTATTGTCACTTGCTTAAATCTCATATATCAATGGTGAAAGTTGTCGTAATTCTCAGTAGCAGCACCATCTTTTTTACCCATGAAGGAGATGATAATTCTAAATTTATCATAGTAATCAACTGGTATCAACAAACGATTGTAAACTTGGAATTACAACTATTCTCTTGTTTTGTCTCAAGTCCAACTACAGTTGTGGGAAATCTATGTGGCCTGAAACCTGGGCCTCGTGGTTTCCATATCCATGCTCTTGGTGACATAACAAATGGCTGCATGTCAACAGGTTATCTTTATTCTCCATTGTCATCTTCATTTTATAGGTATCCATAGAGAATTGGGGCATGGGGAACAAGCAATATGATACTTCAATGAATATGGTCTTGATCGCTTCAATTTGTAGGACCACATTTCAATCTTGTTAGCTAAGTGCATGGCGCTCCAAGGGATGAGAATCGTCATGCTGATGATCTTGGAAAGGTTACAGTTGGTGACGATGGTACATGCTATTTAATCATGACTAAAAACTTTTCCACCCCATCATATATCTCCTATCCAAAAAAAAAAAATCATAAATACCTGTCAATATAGCTGCTTTATCTTATGTATTGTACTTCAGTCCTTGTTAATGAGAGAAATTCGCATAGCCATTACTATGTGTCATTGCTATACTTATCACCACTGTTAGTACAATTTTAGTTTTTATGGTTATTTTTGTTGCACATACAAAGCGACATTGCACAATTAACTTTAATATGTGCTATTGTTTGTAGATTCCACTCTCTAGGGCTGTAGTTGTCCATGGTGACCCTAATGATCTGGGAAAGGGTGAGTATCAATTTTTTAATCACTACGTTGCTTTTATAGTAGCTTCAACTGTAAAACATTTACCTTTAAGCAAGGCTAGCTAGACCCAAAAAAACAAACCCATCATGTAACTTATAGTAAACAAGTTATTAGATATTTGTCTTGAGTGATAGTTGAGTTGACTGCATGCGCTGATCGTTACATTGTATTTGTTAATATTATTCAAGAGTCCCAGCAATGACTATGAGGAGCAATTGGCTGTGAATGAATTTCTGGTTGAGAGACAGCTTGAGATCAAGACTTTCATAGTGCTGTAATCCTGATATTAAGCAAAAAGGTGAGAAGCGCCTCCCACAAAACTAGAATCACTAATCTAATTCTTCTGCTGCTTTCCCAATCAAAATATAGAAAAATGCAATGTGTAGCATTAAAGAACTCATGCAACATCATGTATTTAAAACTCACACAGGTGGCATTCTCATTAAAAAAAAGGGTTTATCTTTTATGGCTGAGTAAATTCAACTTTAGACATGTCTACAACACCACTCATCAAATTATTCTGTTAGGAAAAAACTTTAAAAGTCTAGAATAGTTGCCAGCGAACTCGACAATTAACAATTTCATGTCTTTTTTTTTTCGAAAGGTAAAAAAATTATATTGAAACATGGGATAAACAAGATGTACCAATACAGGCAAAGGAACACCCAAGGAAACAAAAGGATAACACCTAACAAAATGCATCATTCAACAATTAAACAAAACATTCAAGTAACAGGTCCCAATGGAGTGCCAATTGCAGATTAGTCTCAGAAGGGCTGAACTTGATGGAAGCCATTCTGTTTTTGGTAGCCAGATGGATAGACTTGGAAAGTCTATTAGCATCCTTGCTCTCCATGGAAGCCATTATGTTTCATGTCATGTACAAGAGAATCATGACGAGCTCTCAAAGAAAGAATTTTTCCCTTATTTTTTGTACAATTGAAACAGAAGTGGACAACAATTGATTGGTTCATACTTGTAAATTAGATTTATTTTCTAATTATCTTATATCAAATTGAAAGCAAGGTATGTTCGATTTAGAAAAAGACTTTGCTTGCATGTTTTGGGGCTAAGAACAAGTGAATTCCTATACCCCTACGTGAGGTATGTATGCAACACAGAAATGTGAGTTAGTGAAAACAAATTTTCAACAAGAAATGTGAAAAACTAGAAATAAATTATGAGAATGTATTTTTTGTCAGTTGCTGAAATATAATTATCATAATGTAATATTCATCAATTAAAGGTTTGAGTATATATCACCAATCATTTACAACAACTACATCGCTAGCTATGGATGATTGAAGAGGCAATGTAGTAGGAAATCATCTCTTATTAGCTTTATTCATTCTTTCACAACTCTTCTAATGAAACAATAGGGAGAAGGGGAAAGAAGGCGGAGAGAAGGCGAATTATTTTATGATATCCAGTAATAACAAAATTCAATTGACTTCGCAATTTCATTCCTTTAGGAATGTCCCAAACTTTGGAAAAAACAAAATTTTGATAATAATTATATAGAATAATTTATACTCAAAATGATATACATGCAAAATATTTTAAATAATTATATA